AGGGGGCCCCGGCCATGTTGGATCCTGGTTGTTTCCTGTCGAGATCCCCAGTGTCCCCTGAGGATTCGAGGTGTCCCCGGAGACACCAACATCTCAGCAAGGATGACAGGGACCCTGGCCCCAGGAGGGAGTGATGGGTTTCTAGAGACCTGAGCTCATCTAGGTGCTGCAAAGCATCCCTTGATGGTTTCCTCACTGGGCTCACAGGGCACAGAGGACCGGGCATTGGTTCATGAGTGTGGGAACCCCTCTTCCTTCTCCTCTCAAACCACTGTCTGGTCCTGTCCCATGCTTGGTGAATAATGATTCTCAGAATGTCAAAGGCGGAAAAGTCTGTCCCTGGCAGGTGGCCGGCCTCTGCCTGTGTTTGGACTTCAGGGACAGGGCTGCTCAATTCAGAAAGCAGGGAGTTTGAGAGGGGGGTTGGCTCCCAGTGCTGTGAGGGTGCAGGCGTGTGCAGGAGGTGAGGAGAACTAGCATCAAATTGGCACCTCTCACACCCTCTCCTGTGCATTTTGACAAAGCTTGATCATGCATAGGATGTATGAGGACAGCTGAGCAGATGCCTGAGTGTCCTGGGGCAGCTGTTACAGATGCCATAGACCCGGACCTGTAAGGAAAACTTTCTTCTGTCACAGTGTTGGAGGCTGGAAGTCTACAATCAAAGTGTCAGCAGGTCCCACTCCTTCCAAAGTCTCCAGGGAAGGTGCCTCTCCATCTCATGGTGTTGCTGGCAAACTTTGTCTGCAGGTCCAGCAAGTCTGTCCTTTTTGGGGGACACTGTGAGCCTCAAAAGAAGGAGGGGGCAGGGGAGCACTGGGCCTGCTGCTCTTCGTCCCTCCTTCCTCCTTCTCTTAGCTCAGGTGCCAGCCCCCATCCCTTCCGTGCCCTGCTCTGTGTTGTTTCCGAGCATCTGCTTTACTTATCATTTATTTAGTTCCTCACTGAGGACATGCTTATGGATTTTAGCGAGAGGCAGGGAGAGAGATGTGAGAAACATTGGTCGGTTGCCTCTTGTACTTGTCCCGATCCGGGAATGAACCCTTATCCTAGGTATGAGGTCTGAGTGGGAATCAAACTGGAGACCCTTCAGAGTACAGGACGATGCAAAGCATCTCATTTCTTTATTTTTCATGTGCAAACTGTCATCTTACCACTGAAATGCATCTAGACCAATATTTTTATTATTTTCATTTTTGTTAATCCTCACCCAAGGGTATTTTCCCATTAATTTTTAGGGAGAGTGGAAGGGAGAGGGAGAGACAGAGAGAAACATTGATATAAGAGAGACACATTGATTGTTTGCCTCCTGCATGAACCCCAACCAGGGCCGGGGAACCTGCAACCAAGGTATGTGCCCTTGACCGGAATCATTCCTGGGACCCTTCAGTCCACAGGCTGACGCTCTACCCACTGAGCAAAACAGCTGGGGTTCCAGCACCAATACTGAGTGTCTTCTCAGAGAGGAAACACCATGTTTCTCATCTGATAGCTGGTCTGCTGGTCACCACTGGTCTCACTGAAGGCATAAGCCCCGCCTCCTCCCATGGTCCACCCCAAAGGAGGGCGGCTTCCCCTTGGGAGGGTCTGGCAGGAGGATAAAGGTGCTCAGAGCATCCAGGACAGAAGACAGACAGACCTGGCATGGTGAGGACACTGCTGAAAGCCCCATCCTCTCCCTTCCCAGGCTGTATCCCCGCCCCACATCTCCTCACTGGCTCTCCTCCCTCCCCTCTCCCCCTGTAGATGCTGTGGCTGCTGGTCCTGACTCTCCCCAGTCTGGGGGGCTCCGTACCTGTGACCTCAGGTGGGTCCTGACCCCCAAGCCTGGCTTTTCTCCAAACCCCTGACTCTGACCTCTCAGAGGCCGCCCCTGGGATGGGTGGCGATCCCCCTCTGAGGGTGGCTCTGGGAGGGACTGAGGATGGGGCCATGCTGAGTGTCGGGCAGCGGTGCCTGGGTCCCTGATGGCTCCTCCTCTTCTTCCCCAGATCCCAGCCCAGGGACTGAGCTGGTGGGCATCATACGGGGGCATGCTGCTGCTGATGGGGCATGGCCGTGGCAGGTGGGCCTGTGGGTCAGGAATCAAACAAGTTCAAAGTGGCATCCCAATTGTGGGGGCTCCCTCATCCATCCCCAGTGGGTGCTGACCGCTGCCCTGTGCCTTCTGTCCCCAGGAGAAACCCAGTGACTCGGCACTTTAAGGTCCAACTAGGACGAGTGAGACGCTCATATAATGGCAGTGTGCAGGTGGCCAGGATCATCCGCCATCCCAAGTACAGGCTTGAAATGGGAGTATCAGGTGGGGCAGACGTGGCACTTCTCAAACTGGAGTCCTCAGTGCGACCATCTAACCTCGTCAGATGGATCCGCCTCCCGCCAGCCTCCCTCTCATTCCCCCCAGGCACAAGGTGCTGGGTGACTGGCTGGGGCCGCATTGCTCCTGGAGGTGAGAACCAGGTGACACGTGGGAGTGGGAGGAGGAGACTGAGGTCGATACAGGGGGCGGGCCAGGCTTTACAGAAGAGGCTAAGCTGGGGTCTGAGCTGGGGTCCCTCCGGGGTCCCACCTGGGTGTAGGAGGCCGACATCTCCAGAGAAGTCTGTTAAGGAGAGGAAACCAAAGTAGCAAGAGTGAGGCATGGCCATGGGCATCTTATTTTTATTTTTTTTTAAATATCACCCAGTGATATTTCTTCTATTGATTTTTAAAGAGAGTGGAAGGGAGAGCGATAGGAAAGATTGATGTGAGAGACATACCTGTTAGCTCCTTCCCGACTGGGGATGGGAATTGAACCTGCAACCCAGGTACTTGCCCTTGACCAAGAATCACACCTGGGACCCTTCAGGCCAGTGCTCTCACCACTAGAAACATTGGCCAGGGTGCCATGGGCATTTGTCTCCCTCACTCTGCACCAGGCCCTGTGTCTTTCCTTCTGGGAGTCCCCGTTCTCCCTGAGTCTCGATAGCGGGATGGAGAACGAGGAGGGAACTTCAGTGACGAGCTCAAGGATTCACAATTAAATGGACAAAGTCAAATTTGATAGTAGGGCCGCTCACTCTGCATTTCTTGGGGAAAGCACTTGCTCTGATTTATCCCAATAAAAATTATTTGTGGATAAAAATATATTTCCCTGTTTCTTTTTGGTGCTTGGTGCCCACAGTATCAGCCTAGAGATTGTCAGCCCATTGGCCTCGAGGGAACCCAGACAGTTGGGGTCTTGGGTGACTCCCTGGGTCCCCCTGGGGGCACTGAGGCTCAGCGTGTGGTTCTAGAACCCGCGGTCTGTGACTGTACGCCCCCTCAGGACACCAGGC